TAAATGTGTAAATATTTGAAGCTTCCTAAGCCTACTTCATTTCATTGAAAGTACTGATTAGCATTGCATTCATCAGAGGACAAAATTCGTGATAAAGTTCTTTAATATAGTCACATGAAGTTAATTTATAAAACACATGTCTAAATTACTGTAAAATAATCATTCATTTGCGTGTGTCAAAAGGTAATTAGTCTATCTCATTAATAGTTCTTCACATGGTTAGCTTACCTATTTAAAAAAAATGTTTACAAGTGATTCTCTAATTTAAGGTACACAACCCTATGAAAATCAACAGAATTCTATACCTAAAACTTATTAAATAGTCAGTAGGACAACTGGATCTTGTCTTTCCAACTCATATCATTTATTGGTACAACGTTTTCTTTCCTTCTTTTCCTTTTCTCTCTCTTTTTTCCTGTTATGTGCTGCTTTGTTACTTTCTTCTGCTTATGCCAGTAAATATGCTAGCATCTACTTTTCTGATAACTTCAAACACTCTGTTCAATTTTGGCTTTGCTACCGTCTTGCCAATATGTTGTTGTCATGATGAACTGAGATTTCCTTAATCAATGTAGAATTTTATTTATTGTTAATGTACTAACTGGATGCAATACTGTAGTGAAATGCTGAGAATTCCATTCTGTATCACAAGTACTGTTTTGGAATAAAGCAAATTATTATTATTATTGTACATTACCTTGTTTTTTTAAACTGTACCCGTAACTTTGCTTCAGTTTGTATTCAAGTATGCTGAAAACACACACCACACAATTCTAATTGCTGAGGGTTAAAATTGACTGCCTTCTAGTGTGTTCTATACTTCTGTTTTAGTTTACCTTGAAACTGATTTTAAGACATCCACTCAGAATGACTCAAGAAGTACAGGTCTACTTGTCCTCCTCATTTCCACTAGTTTACGTACATATCTGATTGTGACAAAAATATTTTCGGACTGGCAATTATTAAATACATGGATTTGTACAACATTCTACCTGCAAATGCTAAATCCTCCTCTAATAATGCATGAAACAGACTACTATTACAATGTGTGGAGTTAGGTTTTAGGTCAGGCCTATATATTTTCAGATAAATTACTGGTCAGATACAGCGTGGAGTGTAATAAGCAAATTTGATGAAAGGTTGTTAACGAGGCTTCCAAAGTCATCTGCCATATACCAACTTATCTTAACTCTATCTCAAGAGTTCGTCTACTAGACATTGCTGAGACTATTGAGGTTTACATTAAGAAGTTGATTCAGACACTGTCCTTACCTTAGTCATCAAGGTCCCAATGGTCCTCAATTTGTTGTGCAAATTTCCTTAATTTGGTTTGGTATTCTATTTGATCTCACATTTTTATGCTTATTATAATTTATGCATCTTTAGTGAACTGTGATATGGCTTAACAAATCGACAGTATTTAAAGACACTAATATTGCTATTGATGACTATTCTAGAATATTCTATGTACATATATATATATAATTGTAGAGCCGGAAGAGGATATTATCGAAAAGGATATTCTTTGCTTAATTCTTCTCTAGATGTCTGAAATGTAAAAGTTTATTCACTGCTTATCAGCCGGCTATACGAAGGATATTTAAATGAAAATAAGTAAGCTCATACTAGTATTCCACTATTCATGTAACTGCGACAATTCCTGTATCATGACATATATATATATATATGCAGTGTAAAATTCCAAAGCAACTCTTTCAGAGACTTTTGATTATGACATTATATTTACTAAAAGAGGAAAGACTGTATTTGCTGGTAGTTTCAAGTGAATCCTCAATATTGCAGTTATGGGGTTATAAAACTGTGATTCATTCTTTTAAGTGAAAAGTAACAACAAGTCTTGCTTAACTTGTGTGTACATTTAATATTACAGTGACTAGTGTTCAGAATAAGTTGACTTTGTTAGTACATTTAGTTTGAACATAACCTATTCTTGTTGGAACTTTTCAAGTCTTACGTATAAGGTAATGGGCTATACAGATCCGGAAATGAAACTTTCAAACTTATTGAATATTCCTTCTACGCTTATTTTTAGCTTCAGGTTATTTGTTGTACATAAACTTAAAGAAAATTAGGGTTCATAGCTCTTACTGATACATATATATATATATATATATATATATATATATATATACGTATATATATTTTATTGAAAAACTGAAAATAATATCAAGTAACAGAAATGTGTAACTCAACACAATTAATAACACAAGTTACTTACTCGGAGTTTTTCTGCAATTCTTCCTTTTAGGCTTTTGTCAAACTGCATTGGTATGCTACGTGTATCGTCAATGGAACCATCAAAGTTTATATCTGGAACAGATTCAACTTTGACGATTTTCTTTCCTTTATTCAAATTTGTCTCAGGTAGGAAAAATATCAAAATTAAGCTTGGAGCAAGTAAAGCTAATGAGGTGAACACCGCCACCTGGAAACTGAAACGATAGATCAGTGCGCCTATAAAAGACAAAACGACTTTTTCAGTATTGAAATTAAATATTCGTATGACACATATGTAGATGCTCTGGTGAATTATACTGAATGCTGCATTGTTGCCCTAGATGACTTCCAGGGGTGAAAGTGCGAAAAAGTGAAGGCTGTTTTATTGTTAGGGTAATTGTCCAAGTGTGATAGCTCTTTATATGTAGACTTAAAAGCTAACTGAGTGGCAAACTACTGTTGTCTGCGTATCGAATAAACAACTCTGAAAAATACTTGATCTAACTGAAGTGTTCTAAATATGTAACCGAACAGTTAAATGAATACACCTCGATCACACAAAAAAACATACAAAGTTATTCTGCAAGATATCTCTTGAAAACAGTACCATTGTGGTGAGAGCTGGCTGTTAGTCAAAATTGCTGGACAGGAATTGACGTCAATATTTATGTCCCCAATATTGGTCGTGAGAAAAATGAGAACAAAGGCTTTGCGCAGGCGGATACAGTTAACATATAGATGATCTGACATTCAAGAAACAGCCACGAAGAGATGCAAGGTTAACTTTCTGTGAGAAACAACCAATGAGAAGACTGTGTTTTTCTGCTAACAATAATCTATTATATGTACATGAAAATCTATAAATATGTGTTGATTTCCTTAATAAACGATCTTTTGCCTGGCCCTTGTCTTCTGTTGTTACACCATAACTACAATGCACAAATTTATTTTATAGGCTAGATTCGTATCGTATTTTAGTATGTAAAATGGTTTCTTTTGCGCTTTAATAGTCATCACCAGTGATGTTCGGAATAGGTAGACATAAATAAAGTGATCCTACCTACAATTAAAGCTGAACATCAAACAGATTTTGATTCGTGGTCAACCACTAGCTCTGCAGAAATGGTGAATGGACACCGGTTAAACTTACGAGTCAGCATAAAGATGGTAAGCGATGTCACTGTTAGCTATAAGAAACTTGCCACAATGTGATGTATACTGATTTATTCTGGTGAATAGCAAGTTCATTAATCTCCCCATGAAAGCGTTTCCGGTAACGTTAGGATGACCTTTCAACCAGTGCCATCATCTTGAGAAGTTGACTTTGGTAGCTTTAAAATGTGATGTGTATGTTGGACCAACAGGTTCCGTACATTTTTCACTCTTACGACTAGTTTAAAAAGTAAAAAGGTGACTACTTAACAGTGCGAAGCTGTAGGGTTAAGGATAGTTTCGTATTATATGTATATATATATATATATATGTATTAGATGTGTGTGCTTATCTTATTCTCTTTTCTGCATGTCATTATTCGAACACTTCATGCAGCATTTCTAAGTCCTTATGCTTTACCAAGTTTGAGTTCAAATTGTGTTACAAACAGATTTGTTGTCTTTTCTGGGCCTTCAACGCTTACCACCCCGAAGCATATAAAAATAAAGCGACATTCTGTCTGTACTGCGTTACTCTGAGATAAAATAAGACCGTACTTCGAAGTAAAACAAAAGTTCATTTTCCCCTCTATCGATTTCTTTTTTTGAAAACTTTTAATTATATTGAAGTGTTTTATATCCTTTGCTCATACTCACTATTTTCATACTAATTATTTGTAGACATACAAAGCCAGGAAGTTAATCATCAGTGTAATGCAGTATCATTCAAGTTAATGTTACATTTGATTTGTTGGTTCAGAAATAGATGACGATGACTATATTTTAAGTACTGCATATATCAACTTTAATCAACCAGTTTATAAGAGGTTTGTAAAGATCTTCCTCCAATGGCTTAAAATAAATCATAATAACTAACCAGATGGATATTTTTATCCAGAACAAGATGTTTTGAACATTGTGAGATTTTACGAGGCGATGTCCAACAGTCAAATTATGCCACTGTCTAACCCACCAGAATATTTTCGTATATACCAAACACCATGTAATAATATCTAAAGGGAACTTGAAACAAAGTAGTTGGCTGTCTATTCGGAAAAATACAACCGCCATCAGCAATCTTTTTAAGTTTTCGATGGAATATTTGTGTTCACCCTTTAAGGTGACATTTCAACTCTCGCAGTTTAGAATCACATAATTAATGAAAATTTTACAGACAGCTAGAAGTACTTTCACACAAGAAATAGGTGAAGAATTCTCTAAAATGAATGTTGTCTAACCTTTCCTTAAATTAAACATATAAGTAAAATGAACATTCTGTTATAATTACCTCCTATTGGTGAACCTGCAGAAATACTCAAACTTGCTATTCCATCAAAGACTGTAAATAATATCCATAGTTCTCTGTCAATCGACTGAATCTTTTTTGCACTTTTATTGTTTTCTTCATTATCTGGTCTGCAAATGTCAGTAAGTATAGCCGCAACCTGACCAAAGAGTGATATGAGACCACCACCGAGAATAGCTTCAAAGAATCCCGGTAATATCACTAACCACAAATTCAATTTCAGCAATACAATCAAACCTGAATCAAAAGAAAAAAATAACTGAGCGAAGGAAGAATAAACAGTTTGCAAGTTATTTTGTCAAATAGGCAGGAAGAAATGGAGATGGATTGGCCATAGCCCTCGAGTGGAACCCGAAAGGGAGGCGGCGAGTTGGTCGTCAGTGCAAGGGTGACTTGGAGGAGGTCATTTGAAGAGGAGATGAAAGCATGTGGACAGACCTGGAGCGGGGTGAAAAAGTTGTCAAAAAACAGAAGGCAATGGAGGTGCGCAGCTGAAGCCCAATGTTCCTCTAGGAACTAAAGGATACAATAATAATAAGTTATTTTGAGTCACCGAATAACTGGGGGTGATTTAAAATATTCACTTAAAAAGCATACATATCTTAAGAAATGAACTGGTCCCTAGTTCGTGATAAATTTGAACCATTGATCATATGATCACTATCGTTTCGTGATAAAAATTAATATAAAAAGGTGCATCACTTACTGACTAAGCCGACATGGAGAGTTTCGCCAACTAGTATTGCTCCAATAGCAACTCGACGACCGAATCTGTCAGATAAATAACCCACAACCAGAGTGGAGATCAGTCCGATTGTTATCCGTACAGAATTGGTTGCTGATTCAAGAGTTGCTGCCTTCTTCTGAGCTAACTTTAACTTTTGCTTGTCTTCAGTGGAACTGTTTTGGAATGAATGTGTAAACGGTCAATAAATATCTAAAGATGGTTACCGGGAGACTCATGAAGAAATTTAAATCATTTCATTTTATCCTAAATACTGCGCTGAAGATGTCGTCCAGAAAGACGATGAAAGCTCCGCAATTAAACCAAGGAGCTCAGAGAACATTATCAATTCCGAATGTGTAAACATATTAGTAGTAAGAGAACATGTGGTCAAAAACCTTTGTGAATAAGAGAATCCAAACTCGATAACCATTTTTGTTATTACTAATATTATCTGTCATTTTCAGTGTTATTCACGTTTGACTTTTGCAGAATAAAAACTCCACTTTTCTAATTTGGAAATATATTAAACTGCGATTGGTTTCATGAACTGAAATTAAGGTGATGACAAGTTATCAGTCCAAAGAGTCCATGTACTAACATATAACCAATCAAATGAATTCGGATATTTCTTTATTGTTAATTTCAGTATGCTAAGAGGATGAGATTCACCACATGATCATTAGGCTTTTTATTGTGTAGTAGAGAAAACTGATGATACATATTAACATTAAACAAGTTCAGTGACCGGCAGTATACACATAAAACACAAATGGAAAGCTGAATTCATACTAGTAGAAACAAGCACACTAAATGAAACAAGTCATTGTGGTTTACACTGATAAACCTCTGAGAAATCTTCTCGTGACTTTCTCACCATACAAGGCTGATTTTGGTGGGGGCTAAATGTGAAATGTGTACTGCTGAATAATGTCTACGATACTCACACAGTATTTTCTCACTGCTATATTGTCAATACTTGGTAATTAATCATTCATTTAAAAAAAATGAAGATGCTGTGCGAGTTTAGGAAGTTCACTTATGAAAATTCAAATTGAATAATGTTCCCATAATCTTTAGAGAAAAACAGGGTGTTGCAATTAAAATTTAGGATGGTTTAGAAATACGTGAAATCCATAAAATTCAGTTTTGCAAGAGTTATCTCCATGACTAATCATTTACTAGTAGTGTATGACGATTTTGATAGGTATTACAAGTTAATATTACTGGAGGCAAGATTTCCACAATAAAAACGTCTTAAGAACTAATTATTGTCCTGTGCACAGTCAACAACGTAGCTGATCTGTACTACACTGAGGCATAACCAGAATACCAGCACTCCAGTGATATCTCTTTTGTGATGAAAAATATTGTCTACTTCATAATAATATCAGTCGAAATCTTCCAGAGGTGAAATTATTAATCTTAATCGAGGAAATCTGTTTTTTTATGACCAAAACTAAATGTGTTTCATGTTTTGCAGTTTAAGTGTTTAAAACGTTTCAGCATATTTAAACAAGTTGGTTTTAACTCACAGAGATTGGTATCGTCCCCTTTGTGCCCGTGTATAGTAAGGTAGTCCTTGTTCAGTGACAGCGCTGGAAATTAACAGTGAATATGACATTGTTAATCAAGCATAAACTATCATTTTCGCTTATTTTACGATTATCCTGCCATGTAGGTATTAAAACCTTAAGAAGAGAAAAATTGGTGTTAATCATGCTTTTAGGTCTCAATGTGTTTTTGCACTAAGAATGCGAATGCACTGGATACAAGACACTGATAACACGCTGATAGATATATTACTTGTCACTGTCTTCAGACTCTTCGGTAAATTTATCATACTTTGTTACAACTGGAACAATTAAGTAGGCTCGATCTATATATATATATATATATATATATATAATAGTGTACGGATGCACTTCTGCCACTAACAAACCTTATGAACCGTGGTATTTAGAATAATCAACGTTGTTTCCAATTATTTGGTGAATACTAACCGCAACCAATGACCTAATAAATCAATACAATGTCTTATTGTGGTAATCGCTTATTTTTATGAATACGAATTATAATTTCCCTAAGATAGTACTCTAGAGCAAAAAAGTAGGTGGGTATAGAAATTCCATTTTCATTTAATTAAGAACACATGAGTCAGCAAAGAGATCCCTGGAAGCCCAATTAGTAATTTTTTCATCCTTGCCTAAGATTCGTCGCTGCACCTACTCTTTCCGAAAATAGTGTTTTCACCAAACACTGTAGTTTTAATAAGCAAGTGGCAAATCCACAAAACTTTATTCTTCTAACTTTATATTCCACAGTCATATAGTCAAACAAAGAACATGGCTTTAGTGTACATTCAACTATCAGCAAATGACTGAACACTGCACCGACTAAAGAAATGTGATATTTTGTCAAAAGTATAACAATGGTTTCTAATCTTTATTTGGTCTACGTTAAGCATTGCTAAACGATGGTCAACTTTAGTTCTCAAGGCGACATCCATACTGACTTCATTCTGTAAATAATGCCTACACCAAAATTTCATAGTTTACCACTTCCATAAACATTTTATTTCATATCGATTTACCAAAACCATAACATTTCTGAAACTATGGTGTAGGTGAAATACAAATGCCTATACATAACCCGCTATGTGGTTCAGTTTTGAAGATATTTCAAGGCTTTTGGCAAAAGGAAGACATTCCAGTACAATCACGACCAAGTGGAATTATTTGAACAAAAATAGACCACTTCTCCACTGTATACGATCCAGTGTAGTTATCAAAATGAAACCAACGATTAAAGTCTGTCAGTGATGTCCGCAATGCACTCACCAGTGTGATGAGAAGGATACTCTTTCGGCTGATTTTGGATATCAGATATCACTTTGGTTGGAGTCTTGGGCCCTGGCTTTCGGCTTACTAGCAATTATCACTAAAGTGTTTCTGAGATCCTGTGAAATTCGTTTTACTCTCTGATTTACTGTGACCTTAATCGGATTAAAAACCTTCATTTTTTTAATTTTCTACATTATTTAAAGTGCATTGCATCTACTGTGTTATAGTTATCCAGTGTATTGTTGTTTTTGTGAATTTACAGCTTATACAACACATACTCTTGACACTGACTAATAGCAATATGGTGCATGCATTATAAAACACATTAAAATCATTGGTGTTATATTTTAAGGAATAAAATTGTAATAATCCTAGAACTTACCTGTAGAACACATACTGATCAGAAATAAAGAGGCACAATTCAATAGAAAGATATAAAGTTATTGTCATACACACCAGTAGGGCGATCACCCTAACTTTTAAAGACTTGGAGGGTTTCTTCGACATTTTCGTAAAGGCTGATCAGTAGCGCTTCTCGATAATATTTGTTAGTAGTGTATAGTAGATAGTCTCCACAAAACTCACTACCGGATATTGTAATTTCATACAAGCTTGAATCTAAAATATACGACTAAACTGACTGATGCGAATCAGTTCCATAAAAGCTTATTTTGCACTTTACTTTCATTTAAGTAACCAATGAAGTCAATTTTTGACATGACTTGTTAATTGGTTAAGCTAGGCACTCTTCAAAATATTGAACGATAAATTAACATCATTCGCCAATCAATTACAAATAAGGGAGTTTACATCAAGCTGTCAGCCTTTAAAAGTATCTACTCATCATTGTAAATGTAGCTAGTGTAAATGATTATTTATATTTATGTGGTAATAACATGGAGTATTTGAAATATTAGACTGATGGTTTTTTGTAACTGTATACATACATATTCATATGAATATAATTATAAATATATTTATATTGTTCTGAAGACATTATGAAAATATTCAAATAGATGATGATAAAACATGATTAAAAGTGAAGGTGGTAGAGGATTTGATACAGAACAGGATAGCTAAGTAATAGTACAGATGGTATGATAGAGATGGGTGAAATTATAGTAAGGCAACAAAAAGATGTACTGAGATTCAGAACTAAAATAAAGTTAAAATAAATTGAAAATGTTAATAAAGACCAAAAATATCGAAGAGTGATACCGGGTGCCCTCAAACTTTGACCAACTTCATTCAGCAGCTATATGATGATGATAAAGTCATATGACAAGTGATGCAGAACGGATAACTCACCGAAGGCATTGAAGGAAAGACGGGAGTAAGACAAGAATGATTACCATCACTGATGGTAGTTCTGAATTAGGTTGTGGTCGAAAAACAATATTTTTGCAGAAGAGGCAGGTAGGGAAGATAGGTTTCCAAGTGAATATGGAGAAGACAGAGGTGAGAAAGATAGCTGGTCATCATCACATTCAACAACATCAAGCAATCACCATTAACTGGAGGAAAGTAATAGCAGTCGTGTCTTTCACTTGGCTGAGCAACCTCATATGGATTACAGGCGGCACAGATGGGGATGTCAAAAGCAGGAAAGGCATGACAGACCTTCATTTACCTAAAGTCAGCATAGAGATCTGCTATTCTCAGCGCGGTGTACAAGATTCAGATTGTCAGTAGTAATATCAATTCAGTTCTTTTTTCTGATTCACAGACTTCGAACGTGATGGAAGGCATTTTCGTCGAGCAGAATGATGTGCTACGCCCTCAAGTGAGACACAATTGGGAAACGATGAGTTGGTCGTTCGATGATGATATGGAAGAGACTATGTGAGGAGGAAATGGAAGCATGTGCGAAATCGCGCAACCAACTAAAACAGACTACAGAAGACAGAGTGAAGTGATGATGTCCTGCTGAAGCTCTGTATCCAAATTGGAACCTAGGAGAATTACGCAGATTAAAAATAAGGAGGATAGATTGAATTACGGAATGGTAAATAAATGAAAACAACAAATTACCGAGGAAATGCAAAACCATTCTGAACTCACTATTCGTTTCAGTCTACAGGTTCCTTCTGCCTGTGTATAGCATGACGATCTACTATTACTATTTCGTATGACTTGAAACATTAGTTTCGCTTTACAGTCCTAAATTCCTTGACCAAAAAGTTCCCTGCAAATGTTCGAATTCTGTTTGAAAGGATCGTCTCTGTCTTTCCAAAGTGTATGCTTTTCCAAGCTTAGATAAATGAATCGATACAGACGGAGGTATCTTGAGAAGAACTCACAACCAGATTGGTTTCCTTTAGCATGTTATTTAT